CATCAAGGTGAATATCAAATTCTAGATTTTATAGAAAATGTTCAAGCACAAAATGAACTAAATTTGAAAGTTAGATATCATTCTAAAAAATGAAACACAAGAAGATTCTGTAACGGCAACACTTAACAAACTCAATTGCTTGGAAACATGCATCCATGCCTCATTGACTTTGCTTCGCAGCTCATAATCTAGCTTCTCCGCTCGGTAAAGGGTATTTTGCCCAATTTTTGCAGTTTAGACCATTCTAAAGCAACGTTGACCTTGTTGAAGGAAATTAAGATAAGTATACGGTTTAATTTTTCGATTTAAGATAAAATGAATTGAGAAATTGTAGTTACTAGTGAAACGAGATGTACGTTCTAATTGGAAACGACAATCGGTGATACTTTGAGCAATTTCGGGTCACGAAAAGCAAACGTACTCAAATATAGGGAGAAAGCTGGCTAACGAAAACCAAGCAAGTGCTCTTACTGTTGGATTGGTTTGACGACTTGTTTGATGTATGACGACACGTGTCATTTATTCATTATGTTTATGATGTTGTGACTATATTGTATGATGATAATTTACAATGTACGATAATGATTTTATATGATGTTATGATGCTATACAATGTTATATGATACGTTAGAAGACATGGTGTAAGTTTATGATATGACATATGTTTTGCCTGATGATATATATGATATGACATGATTGACAAAAAGTGTGTTGAATTGGCATAATGCACAACCTCGATATATACATGAAAAGTTGTGATAGAATGAAATGATATAAAGGAAAATGCTAGAGAGTTTGTTATACAGGATAATGAAAGGAAAAATGTTTGGACGCCATGCATCATTGTGCGTTCATGCATCGGAGGATACTCCTTCTTTTACGATTGTACAGATGCATACATTGCGAGGCAGGGAAACAATCATTATATTATTATAATTCTTCGATGGACACTCCAAGGAATCCAAACCAACGAGGTAGATCGATAAGACAGAATGTCATAACGAACAACCCGCGCTGCAACGATTACCATTGACAAGTCAGTACTTTCGACTATAAGCCAAATAACACTTTTTTATGTTATTTAGGTGAGATTAATGTGAGTAAGATAGAGGTGACTATTCTAGATGAACAGTACTATGATGGTTGCTATTCTTGGGTCATATTAATGTATCAATAAGTTATGTGTGAAGGTTGGGTAACCAAAGGTGCGAGACGACTTAGATCTAGTGGAAAATTACGACAGAAAAGCCATTGGAATGGCTGCAAAAAGAGAATGAAAGGAATTTTGAAGATCGTGAGGAGTCGGGTGTAGAAGAAAGAATCCGTCAGATCTGGATCCAAGTCGAACATACGTGCATCAACCTACTACTCAAACACATCTGCAGCCTAGATACCAACAGCAACTTTGGCCTATGACCCAGACACTTTTGACTCGTGGCCCATAATGCCAGTAGCTCGCGCATTAGATCTTGTGGCCCAAACTACCTACAGCCTATGAACTATGTAATCAGCCTGAAGCCTGCGCCTTGTGCCAAACATCACCACCATGTGTGTCAACTCCTCCTCGTGCTACGTGTCATACTTAAAACAAGATGGCTCTCCTCAGCTCAGTCTATGAAGATGATGTATGACGTATAATGACGTGATTGAGTTATTTGATTGCCATATGATAGTATATAATGTTCTATGATTTTGTTATATGATGATGTTGTATGATGATGATGAATGAAAACATGAATATTTAAGATGTAATATTATGAGATTCCTTAATATGACGTCATCCCATATTAACATGAAATGCATGTTTTAAATTCTATGATGCATTATGATGATGAATTTCCTAAAACCAAATCCTAATTATAATAATGATGATGAATGTATGAAGACCATTGCATGCATATTACTTAGAGTGATATGTGAATGGAACTTACGGTTGTGTCACCAAGATGTTTTAAAGATGAGAAACTATAGGGACTTTATGCATTATGTGTGTATATTCATCGGGTTACTTCCACTTTTGTGATGAAGAGTGAGGACGTGTACAATATGATGATGGTGATCATCATACCTTGCGTGACACTTAGGAACCAGCTTATTTTCGGACGTCGCTATGAATAGCTAGCTCAACTACCAGAGGCCTAGGGGTGTGAAGAGACTAAGGATCCAAGCTTGCACGTGTGGGTTATGTGTAAGGAAGTAGTGCACATCTAATTTTTTAAGGACTAGAGGTCACCCCTACGATGGTTATAACGATAGGCTCCTAGATCATGAGTTTTGAGTGATTGCATTCCCTAACCCTAATAGTGAGGTCACTTACTCAATATTTCTTTAAGTACTCAAGTCATCAAGTCATGGGCTACTTCTATTTAAGGAATGCAATCACATGAAACTCATGATCTAGACCTATCATTATAACCATAGTAGGTGTGACCTCCAGTCCTTAAAAAATTAGATGTGCAGTACTTCCCTACACATAACACAGATGTGCAAGCATGGATCTTAGGCGGTTCACACCCCCTGGGCCTCTGGTAGTCGAGTTAGATATTCGTAGCGACATCCGAAAGTCAGCTGGCCCCTGAGTGTCATGCAAGGCATGATGATCACCATCATCGTATTGTACGTGTCCTTACTCATCATCACAAAAGTGGAAGTAGCCCGATGAATATATACACACAGAATCATCTTGTTTTAAGCATGACATGTAGCACGGGGAGGAGTTGACACACATGATTGTTGCGTAGGGAAAAGGCTCAGGCTTTGGGAATGATTACATAGTTCGTAAGCTGCAGGTAGTTTGGGTTGCACGATCTAATGTGTGAGCTACAGGCGTTGTGGGCCACGAGTCACAAGCGTCTGGGCCATAGGCTGAAGTTGCTATTGGTATTTGGGTTGCAAATGGGTTTGAGTAGTAGGTTGGTGTAGGTATGTTCAACTTGGATCCAGATCTGATGGATTCTTTCATCTTCACCCAACTCCTCGCAATCTTCCAAGTTCCTTTCTCTCTTTTCCTGCAGCCATTCTAATGG